TGTTTTAGTTGTGGTTTTTCCAGAAGGATTTTTCTATATAAATTTGGTGTGTGAATGAATATTAATTTATTTGTAGATGATTGTTATAACTACACTGCTAGAAAATTACGATAATTAATGTTCGTTATCCTGGGAATTCCTGCTTTTGTGTGATTGAACTTTCCTAACAACTCAAAAGAGAAAATTTACTGTCACCACGAGAAGAACCAAGAGAATTCTCCTGCTGCAGAAGGTAAGCCAGAGGAGAAGGGACTCATGGCGGAAATCAGTGGGAAGCTCTACCTTTAAAGCCATGAAAATGAAATAAATACCAGATATATACTTCTTTAACTCCCACCATTTACATTCAAATTCATCTCAAAACATCCACAAGAAATACAAGTATACAAAATTAGTAAGCAGACGAATTGAAAACCAGTAGAAAGCTGATGTCTACTCCTCATCGTCACTGATATAGACATGAATGGTTCAAATTGATTGGCTTACCGAGCCTGTTACCTTTTAAAGTGACAGAGCATGAGATACGGCTGTAGAACTTTGATTTCACCAGTCTTCCCAAAATGTACGCTCTGGATCTGATTACGAATGTCAGGTTCAATGGCAAAGATACTTTCTCAAGGTGCTCTCTACCATTTGAAAGAACACCTACCCCACCATATAAGGGCACCTGCTGCCCTTCCACCACTGTTGTTATCTTCCTCTGCGTCTTCCTTGATTGGGTAAACTTTTTCATCTTTTTCATTCATCACAAAATCGACAATTCAATATCAGGTTAATAAAAGAAACCCTAGTCATAATGTAGATTCATGCATCTATATAATTATTTCATTTTTCTATTTGCATAAATATTTTATAATCAATAAATTCTCTACCAAATTCCTTATTAGTTATACCGTATAGAATTACAATTAGTCACGTATGTGTTTGTATTAATATAATAATAAAAATGTGGGACCCATTTCCCCGTCCCCCCCCCCCCCCCAACAGGGAAAAACCGGATTATGTTTGGTACAGTTATTGCAGGCACCACCCCCCAATAGCATTCGCAGCTTTCCTGCTCTTGTCCCATTTCCCCAGTCCACTTCTGACTTCTATCGAAACCAAAGACAATGTCATAACAACCCTCCTAAAATTACTATTTTACCCTTCTACATTCTACTTTGTCAAAAATTAATTAATACGATTTCCAATAACAATTTAAACATCGACCGTTTTACCTGTCCGGAGGCAAGCCTCAGCTGGAAATAGTGAATTTCCAAGGGCGTAGACGTGACGTGTACGGCGAAGAATGTGGCGGGATTTCTGTATAAGATCCTGACCGTCGAATTCAGCGTCAACATATCTGTTGGCACTCCTGATGCATCATTCCCCGCCTGCACATTAAAGTTCTCGAAAACCATTTCCTGCCAAACCACCACGCCTTTTTTTTATTTTTTTAAATCCTTCAAAACTGTTAACTGCTCCTTTAATTAAATTAATTAATCGCATAAATCCCTAATTAATTACTTAAACACACGGATTAACAAACAATAATCCACAATGCCGGCCCGTTGAACCCCGCACAAAACAAAAAAAAAAAAAAAGAAAAAGAAACTGACTCTCCGAGTTAACTCAGTAGACCATGAAAACAAAAAAAAAAAAAGACGATTTATTTCTAACTCGGGGTT